TTACGAAATTATTGGACGGTTTACAAGACTAAAATTTAAATATCGCTGTAATTCATATAGATTGTATCGCAATTAAATAAAAATTTAGGAACGTAGAAGTAGTTTGAATTGTTCGATGAAGGAAATATCGCTGATCTACCTGTGGATCGACAATTAGACTTGTGAAGGATAACACAAGAATGGCAGCAAAGAGAGACAGAGTAACATGAACGAATACGCCGCGCGCGTTTCATATCGAGATTTTGACGGGGAATTTCTTTTTTTTTTATTGAGCTAATGCGAAGCGGAAACGCGCGCACGACGCGCAGGAAGCCAGCGAAGGAAGCGCGCGTCCAATCGTATCCGATCAAGATTTTCGTGGTGCGACAAGGGAAGGATTTAGAGTGGTTTTCCTGGATGGTTGTTGCTGGCAATGGGTACACCGCGAAAGAGAGAGAGAGAGATAGAGAAAGAGAGAGAGAGAGAAAGAGAGCGGTCGGTATAATATAATTAAAGAAACACGCAGTACACGTCGTTTTTTTCTTGTGAATTTCACAAATACATGTTATTACATTTCTCTTATATTCAGCATCATTATTAGCAATATATCGTGTGGTTATAATTTATTATAATCTTTAAGAAAAAAAAAAGAACACGGTTCTCAGCAAGAAAACAAAAAGCGTAGACGGGAGAAAAAAACCTTACAGCAAGTCTCTACGCTCGAACAAAACGGAAGTGCGATTACAGACTACAGCACGTCTTTTTTTTACGTCAGAATTAATCCTACGTTAATAAAAAGATTACGTTACTATACGCTAAGAATAAATGTTCCGCCACTTAGATTTCCATACAGAATCGGCGCATCCTACCGGGTCTAAGTCCAATTATAACTTTTTCTTTTCTTTTTGCAGTGAAGAAAACAGCATTGTGAAAACAGGTTTTCTAAACGATCAGACCCGCACGCTACCCCCCTTTGGGGAAAGATTTCGGCAAACGCTTATTTTTTCTTTCTTCCTTAAACACGGTCTACGTCTTCTTGGTGTATTTTTAAGAATACGCTAAAATCGTAAGAGAGAAAAATCCAATTTACATCTCTATAAATTATACGTGAAAAATAATAAAATACTTCTCAACATGAATTCTATCATTTTGAAAGATGAAGCAACTTTGCTCTCAACTTTAACACTTTAAAAATAATTTCTAAAATTACTTCAGAGACTTTTCTCTTCACTTTTCTCCGTTTCACAAACCGCGTCGCGGTTTTCGTCGATGGACATTAATAAAATCCAAAAGAGAGAACAAAGAGCTTTAAGAGCCAACCAATCGATAAAACAAGAGCAAAATAGCGACGCATGCTCGTCATTCCTAATATAATTCATCTTTATTATATTTTTCTCATATTTCTTTTTCGTATATATATATATATACATATATACGCAGCGTATTATTTTTGATGAACAATTTTGTAAAGAAATGTAAATTAAAGATAAGAAGACCTTACAATTGTCAGCGTATTCGTGAAGGTGTCACGAGAAGACGTAGGCCGCGCTAAGTGTATACAAACGCACAAGCACAATTAAAGCGATCTTCATTTTTCTTTTTAAGGGACCAACCGCGAGTACCGCTCTCGGAACGTAAGAATGTTCGCGACAGTGAATTTCGCATCCGTTCGACGCATTGAATAAGATCGCAGTTTGGATTCAATCCATCTTGTTCCGTTTATCTCTAACGCGCGGTGATGTCCACGTATGACGCAGTGTAGATTGACAATCGACAATAGCGGATTGCGAGTGTTCAAGTGTGTGAAGAATTACAGTGATATCACGCAGTACCTTCGCCAAGCGGTTGTTACCTCGTCTAGCGGTCCCCGCGGAAAGGTGCGTAACACGCGTAACTATGGAGTCTATTGATTGTTACGCAACGGAAGGATGGATGTGTCATCGTCACAGAAAACCCGGAAACGATCGGCGGATTCAACCGCTGCGAGATACGGCTCCACTGCAAAGCTTTCGTTGATTTTACATTTTTTTATTTTTCTTTTTTTTTTTAACAAGTTACAAGTCTTTAAATTACAAATTGCAAGAGTTGTATTTAAGTTACAAGTCCAATTCCTAAATAAGTAAGACACTTTGAGAAAGGAAAATGAAGCTTCCTGTTCGAGAACTGTCTCCGCAGTAGAGCCGTATCTTTTTTTTTGACACGTCGAAGATACCTGACTTTATACAAATGTATGAGGGAGGGGTGCAAAAGTGGTCACAGTAGACAACAAGAGATACGAAAGGATCGTCAAGCCGGGAGTCTCTGGAAAGATACGAGGATTCGTCGGATGGGGAATGATAATTTTCCATAATTTTTGCATGTCTGTGCTATTTTCGGCTGGCTATGTTTCGGTTTTTTTTCCGTCTAAATAGATCGCACTGCGGGTAGAGCACTTGTTTCTCATAGAGCGGGCGGCAGATCTTCACGCGTGCAGTTTGCAAGACGGCCAAGAGTATCTCGGTTCCGAGGCTTCCTGCTAGCGACAGACAGACCCGACGGACCGACGACCGACAGAGACCGATCCGAGCCCGACGCGACGATTTAGTATGGTGCGAACCGGCGCGACGGCGATGGCCCTCGTAATCCCGGTCTGGTAACCAAAATTATGTCACGTCAGTCACGAGATCGATGATGCGGATCAAAGCACGGATAGATATAGATTGTAAATGTTAAAGGTAATATATTTGCGTGGTATGAAAAAAAAATAGAAGATAGAAATGTAGAGTAATAGAGCACGTACGTAGAGTGAAATATCGTAAATATCGTAAATAGTAGAATAAGAAAGAAAAAAATGATTAAAAAAAATAATGAAAGAAAAGGGGAGCGGACAGCTCGGATAATACCTCGTTTTTCTCGCTAAACTTTTTTTTTACTGATTCTTCTGTTTTACGATAGTAGGAACATTCGCGCAATTTGCATTAAAACATTCAATTCTTTATTATAAGAGCACTCTTCTTTATGAAAGATCATGTTTTAAAATATCTTGTGATGTTGAATGTTTTCCATCATTGCTATTAAATAATTTGTATAAATTTTTACGAATAACGATTCATACGGAATAAATAAAATAATGCATTCCAAATTGATGATACAGAAAAAAATCTACAGTTCACTTTTCATATGCTTTAGATTTTCATGTCAGTATACCATGTATTTTATTTTAATCGCAAATATCTCGAAAAATATGGAAGATTCGAAAAAGTGTTCAGACAAAAGTCGTATGGTTTCGAGGGGGACATAAGACAGTGCCATTAATTTGACTGAATAATTGTATGAAAATCACATGAAGGGCACTTTTAATTTCTTAAATGATACGCCCCATTTTTCATTTTATTTTCTTATAGTTTATCTCAAGAGATTTTCAAAATACTATAATTAAATATTTTTTTATGACGTATTTCTGGAGTTATGAGGAAAGTATATGTCGGCATTAGCATTATCCAAAGTGTCCAACCGACAGTTAAAAACCTCTTAAATATTGTTCAAAATTATGTCCTGGATTTAGATAACATTTGTCAAAGCCAGGAGAGTTGGAGGTTGTACTTTTAATTTTTATTTTAACATAAAAATGAATTTTTAGTGTAAAAATGAAAATAAGAGGAATAAGTGATCTTGATTTTGACAAATGTTATCTAGGACATGATTCTGAATAGCATTCAAGAAATTTTACCCAAGGTGTCGGTCGAACAGCTTGGGTAATGCTAATGTCGGCACATACTGTGATTTTCAAGCCTCACAAGTCGAAAAGTACGTCATGAAAAAATATTTACTTATAGCGTTTTGGAAAGCTCTTGAGAAACAGCTATAAGAAAATAAAATAAAAAATAAGGTGTTCTATTTAAGAAATTAAAAATGACTTTTATGTGACCTTCATACAATTATTCAAGGTCAAATTAATGGCATCTTATGTCCCCCTCGAAACTATTACAACTTTTGTTTGAAATATTTTTTTCGTATCTTCCATATTTTTCGAAATATTTGTCTAGGGCGATTAAAATGAAACACACGGTATTTTAAAAGATATAAAGAAGATAAAAAATAATGAATAATAATAATAATAATAAGAATAATATCTAAGTGTTCAATGAATTTTTTAAACAAAAATATTTTCTTGGCACGATCATGATATAAAGAAGAGGGCGGCTTAATATTGTTTCTAAATCTCGCGACATGTGAGGATTTCAATTTGGACGTAATATTATAATCCCAGGCACTTCACTCTACTTACCTACGCTCTTCAAACGAATCTCGGCTGAAGTCCTCGTACATGCCTCTACTATAACAGCGGTATAATAAATAATCGAATCTACCAATGAGATCAGATCAACATATACCATATACTGGCTCCCTTGTCCAAGGCTTAACTTTGTGAATTAGTCCCTGTATATACATATAGATTCACGTGCAAGATTCGCGTGCCTCGCCTAATATGACTCAGGATCAGGGACGGAATGTTTTGTCTATTACGTTACCTCGAGAGTAAAAATTGGGACAAAATATGTAATAGACAGGATATAACACGCAGATCATAGAATTACTAAATTTACAGTACAATTTCCTATCACTCCATTACATCGGATATACAAACGCGTGCACGTGTGCGCGCGCGCACGTGTAGGCGTATGTACAAAGGAAAAATTTTGATCCGTTAAATGAATTTAACAACTTTCAATGATGTATAATTAATAATCGTTCGCAAACTTGAGTGCAGAAACGCAATGGACAATTAACAACTACAAAAACCTATGACAGCGAAAGTGAAGGATTGGCCAGGAGATGTGGGATGTAACTAGTCATATGAGGCAGACAGCGGTAGACTGGATTTTTAACCCATGCGACTTGTATTACAGCTTCTCACAAAAAAAAACCAACAAGAGTATTATAAAAAATAAGAGCCATTTGCAGCCCAGGCTGGGATAGTAGGGGGTAATGAGGTGGTAACGTGCAACAACAAATTCAAAGTATTTAGAAAAACTGAGAAATTCAATCAATTCTGTTTTCTATTTGAACGTTTTGCGAATGGATTTACATACATGAAAAGCTTTGAACCTCGTGAGTAGAAGTCAACTTCAAGAGCTATGGATACTAATTTTAGACAGCACGCGGACAAACTGACAATCTCTTCGCGGAATTCCGATTCGACCGAATGTAGGATAATTTTGTAATTTATGATTTAATAAGATTTTTTGTGTTTCGTACGAAACTTTAAGTGTATTCAAATTAATACATCAACTGAAACGACTTCAATTGAAAATGTATCTATTTGAAGTAATTTGTTACTTAATGAAACGGGAAAAATTATAAAACAGCAAGAAAAAAGCGATCCATAAAATAAGAAATTCAATCTCGCATTGTAACTTGGAAATATATACCGCATAAGGAAAAAAATGTACATTTTACTGATAGTAAAAAAGAAGAAAGAAAAATATATTCCCAAGATTTGCTCAATTTGAAAATACTTCCACTGTCATCGACATAACATTTTTTTAAATTTGTTACGTCAATATTTTTACTATTAAAGTGACAGTATACATGATTTAGCCAATAAAAAAAAAAAAAAATTTGCGCATCAAAAAAAATCGAGTCAGATTCAATCGAATCGATGTTATCAAGTTTATGTTCGTAAGTTTGTGAAACTTGGAAAGATTACGGAAGATACCGATATAAACTTACTGATCCAAATCGTCTGGAGAGCTGGTTTCTACTTACGACACGTTTCAAAGACAATCAATTCGATGCGTCATTCCAAAATCGCGCCAGCCCTGTTTGCTTTTCTTTCTTTTCTCTATCTACAGCGTACGAGTTTCGTTTAAAATTGCAGAGCATCCTGGCTCGCGGTAGTGCGATCAAGAAATTCTAATTCGCATTCCTTAGGTACGTTTCTTCATCCCAGGCCTCCGCGCCACTCCCGGCTGAGTGATGTACGTAATAGGGAGCGCTTGAAACACAAAGGATTCAGTGAGAGACATACAGGCCAATTTCGCAGTTAATGCCATGGATCAAGAGAGTCTATGAACTAGGACATCCCTAGAAGAGCAGTCGACATGTTCAAGGAACAATCAGTCGAGACCCGGAAAAAAATTCAAACACCATGGGACGCAGACGACGTAGGCGGCTGCTATTGCATTTCTGACGCGGGTTGTTGCAGCGACAAGAACGAGGCGTGACTACTCGCTAACAAAATGAGTCAAAGACTTACTCTTGTACGACTTGAACGCTGACCCGGGACTGTCTCTCTAGGGTTGCCCGCGTTCATGGACAAAGATGGTACGCCTGAGGTGCACTGAAATTTAGAATGTACAGAAACGTCCAAGCGTCATATAATTAACATTTCACTACGACGGAGTCTGCACTCATGTGGGCATCGGGTCGACACTGGTACGTGTGTGTAAAAGTATTAAGTCTTAAAATCTCAAGTACGAGAAAGTAATATTTGCATAGACGATAACGATCATGCGTTGTGCCGCGCGATATCAATTGTCAGAGAGAAGAAGTTTAATATACGACGATAGAAAAGTAAGAAGAGACAGAAGAGATAAAAAGAGTGGCAGTACATTTAACAAAAAACGTCGAAAAAGGACGACAGAGGTTTATAATGAAGTAGACATGAAGTGAACATTGTAAGACTCGCGATCGCTTGTCCATAACTTAACATTCGCTTTTTCATGGGAATAAAATAAAAAAATAAGGAAAGATAAATACTATAAGGAGATACAAGCTGAAATCTATATGATAAGAGAAAGAAAAAATGTGCAACAGAGACTAGAAATAATGTCGACGAATCACCGAAACCCCAATTCGCATGAGCTGTTAATCCAGCCTGGAACGTTCACAATGTTAAGTCGGACGAATGGGCAGTCGGTACGCCGGGTACCTACTCACCTGAACCGGCCGTTGTTGCCACTTGGAGGGGGTGATCGGCGGCTGAACATTCCATACTCGTTACCACGGGAGAAGCCAGTGTCACGCATGGATCCCATACCTAGAGGAGGCATAGGAGGCATTGGGTCTCGTCTTGGTGGTAGAGGTGGCATTGTCATTGGTGGAAAGTCTAGCCCGCACATGGTAGAACCCATGTCACTGGGCCCTGTCATACCCGTAAACCGCCTCTCGTAGAGGTCCCTGGTGTCCTCGAAGCCGCGCCTGTCGTAGTAGCTTTCGTAATCCTATTAACAAACGGAAATCCCAGTGGAAAATTAATACAAGATATTCTCATATTGCAATCTATGCTATCCATCAACATGAAAGTCATCGATAACATGATCTGAATGTTTATGTACATAAATGGTATGTGAAACATGGTTAAAAAAAAAAAAAAAAAAAAAACTTACCCCAAAGCGGCCACCACCCATGAGCCGGTCCCGTAGGAACGGTGGTGGCGGCGGTGGAGGATATGGATCGCGTCCAAACATTCGGTCCCTGTATCCGTTCCTATCTGGTCCACCTCCCATCCCTCCCTTGGGACATTCCTTCGACCAGTGACCGCCTCGTCCGCATCGGTAGCATTGTTCCGGATCCCCCATGCCTGGCCTCTGTCGTACTCGACTAGTAGATATCTGGACCTTCATCGGTTGTCCATCCACGATCTGACCATTCAGCTCCTTGATGGCATCGTTCACGTCGCCAGTTGCCTCCAAATGAACGAAACCGTAGTTTCTCACGATGTCGCACTCAACAACAGTGCCGTACTTAGCGAACAGTTCGCGAACCTGTGGCGCCTTAGTGTTATCTGTAAGATTGCCCACAAAGATTTTCGTCGTGGGAGTGTTGGGTCCCTTACGACTCTTCGCAGCTTCACATTTTATCGGCTGACCATGAACCATGTGTCCATTCAGATTTTGTATCGCATTTCGACCAGCTTCTTCATTTTCCATATGCTGTGTAAATAAAAGGTGTCACTTTGTATTATCAATTATCAATCCTGATAATCATATCATCGCCTGATCGTACTGATTAAGTATTTGATTAAACTGATGACAACACTTACCACGAAGCCATAATTCTTTACCACATCGCATTCCACGACTTTTCCATACTTCTCGAACAATGGCTTTATGTCCGCGTTCGAGGTCTTATCGGCTAAATTACCAATGAAGATTTTAAATGTGCCAACGCTGCTAAAACCCGGCATTTTGCGGCTCGTACAAGAACCTAATGTCACAAAGATGTACATATAAGAACAGAAATATCACTTTTTGTCTCTCTCCATACAGTTTAACATAAATTTTTAAATATAAAAATATAATCTTGTAATAAATTTATAATTAAACTTATATTAAAATTATATTGCATTTTTATTTTCACATTTAGCAGAACATTTCTTCAAATTAAAAATAAAAATTTGTTTACGATGGTGTCATTGTGAAATAATAAATTAATAATATTTGTAGATCCATAATAATAAATTATATTACTTCGAAGATAATAATTTTTTTCGCGATAAGAATTTTAAATAATTATAGTAGATAATAATTATAATAATTATAATAATTAAAGTATAGTATCAATCAAATATTCTGCAGTCTGCATCATCGTGTTCCAGATATATCTAGCGACGCTAATCCATTTAGCGTACTCGTCCCCGCCATTTCATTCAGCCATAGAATTCGGCCGGGAGTTTAGATGCCGGCGCCGCATAGCGTTGCGTCGCTAGAATGAGGCAGTGGAAGCCGGATAATACCGGTATGTGGATTTCAATGCTAGGAATGTGATCCTCATACAATAAATATTTACAAACATCTACGGGAGAAATACATCAATTTTAGCCTACGACCTAAATACGAATCACGCCAGAACCTGGATAATCGTAACGACCGTTAGAATTTAATTTCAAGGTTACTCAAAACGTTAAAACCAGTTTTCTCGTTATTCCTCAAAATACCTAGCGTTTCACAATTCTCGCCAACCATTTCTTTCGCCCAATGGCGCAATCTCGTAAGACGCTATCTTTCCCGGTGACCGGGCGACCACTCGAAAGAAAGGAAATCAGAGTGAGGCGATTGACTTCGATCTCAACGCTTGCTTTTCCTCCATCTTGTCCACGATCCCCAAACTAATATACATGTAACCGTGACATTCCTACAGCTCCAACGAACTTGCCTTGTGGCATTAGAGAATTTTAACTCATTCGCAACTACATTGTTTCTTGTAAAAGGAACGTCGTAGGAATCGCGACGAAATCGTCATGACGATCTTTCGTCGACGCAAAAGTACGTACCTGCGTCGAACTGCTCACGACAGCGTATCTGCGTACGAAGGAATCCGCCTGGAATTCACGGACAATAGAATTGCACGCGACTGGTCAGACGTGACGAAAGAAAGCGAAGTACGGAAGTAGAAAGTAGAACAATGCCGGTCCCCGTCGCTGTGAAACGGAAAGATCTAAGACGACACACACACCAGAGAAACGCAACGGTAGTAATGGCGTCCCTGCCGTTTGCCGCGTCGTCCGCCCGAGCTCGGCACTAGCGCGTTCTACAACCTATCGCGCGCTTGCCGGCGACGTGAAGATAGGCGTAGACGGAGCGGAGCGAGCCAATGGCGAGCAGCGCTGGTAGAGCGTAGGCGAAGCCGTACGAGCCAATAGTGAGCGACGCCGGTCGAACGCGGGAAAATTCAAACTGCGCTCCGTTCCCGCCGACGTCTCAAATATTCAGTTCAATCAAAAGTATCGAGCCTCATTGCGATGTGCCACCGACAAGATACTATTAAAGACCGACATCCTTACGGAAGTTTGCGTTCTTGTGAATATTGAAGTGATTAAAAGTTAAAAACTAATATTGTACTAATTTTATGATTTATTAGCTTAATAGACGCATTTATAATAATACTCGATTTTTCTTTAAAATTGTAATTTCAGTATATTATCATTATATGTTAAAGTTTAATTAAGTTTAATTGTCAACAGAGACAAGTGCAAAGAAAAAATTTTTCTGCACTTGTTTCTGCAATATATAGAATATTATATAGAATATAATATATAGAATATAACTTTACAAGTATGCATATTTATTTATGGAATATTTATGTAATAAAAAATCATGAATTTAATAATGTATGAGCCAAATATTTATGTTAACAATAGCAAATTTGTAAATTTTGTTTGTCAATTGTTGATAATGCCAAAGTTCTTCAATTGTCTCCGGGTCCTTGAGGCTCTTTTTATACCGCCGAAAATTTGCCCAAGGTTGACGGTCTTTAATAGTATCTCATCGATGCGTGGTGTCAAACGAAGCGGGAAGAGCGAATATAGCCTGGACATATCCACTTCCCGCAATTCCCTACGTTACCTTCATCCGTTGCATGATTAATGAATATATAGGGTGAATATATAGTTTTCCATTTGATGATATAAGTTGACACAAATTTCGACAAAACGTTCTATCCAGAGAAGATAAAGATAACAATACTTGTGTCGATTTGTGTTACCAAATGAAAAGCACCCATATTCTCTCAGCGATAGAAATAAAGGTAAGTACAGAAATAAATATATTTATAACATTTCTTAATAAATAAGGGCCTCGATACAACAAACCAAAAATTAAACACAGGGAAGAAATTGAGAATATAAGTATTTAGAAGCAATGGATTTATCGTATTTTTCCAAGCATGGCTTCGTATATGTTGAAATTTATATATTTTATTCTCAATTTTACGAAAATAAAGAAAATCTATTATATATATGTGTGTGTGTGTGTGTGTGTGTGTGTGTGTGTGTGTGTGTAGTATTGTATACATTTTGTGATATTATAAATTAAAATTTTACTTTCATAACAAAAGCAATATCAAATTCTATATAAAAATAATGAAAATTTATTATTCATTCAGTTTGATAAATATTTATTGCATTGTATGCGATGCATTCAATCACGTTAATACTTGCATGCAGTATTTTTAGAAATAACGTCAGCCACATGACGATGCGCTTTACCCGCCTCCTTAATGTCAAATTTTCATGAAGCCAGCCAAAAAACACGATGAGTCATTCGCTCGATTATTGATTTTCTAGTAAGAGTACGGAAGAAACAGACAATTTGTCGCTTTGCTATTAATCCTCCGGCAACATAAATTTTTACTCTTCGTCAGCAATAGGGGTCTAGAAGCAAAGCAATCTTTTTGTTGTTTTATGTTACATAAAAGTCTGAAAAAATTTCTAGCATGCTTATTAAAGTTTTACAACTTTAGTGTTTTACCATTATAGAAGTAGGATTATATTATTTTTTATAAATTTAGATTATCAAAGTGGATTAAAATTAAAATGATCAGACTGGTCGAATTTTAAGGCTTTCTACAAGTCATTACCTAAGCTTTGAGTTTTGAGAAACTAATCAATCATAGTCGACTATTTTTATATTTGACCGTAATTAGTCAATTTCTTACAGCTTAAAGCTTAAAGCTCAGATAATTTATAATAGAAAGCCTATAATCTCTAATTCACAATCCTCATCTCCAATGTAGAGTGACATGAGCTTAAATACCCCAATTGTTGGCGGAAAGTTTAGACTCCTATTGAATTATTAACGAATGAAGTATTAAACAAACATGAATGTCCAATGTCATTGATGGTCGGTCAAAAGTCGCGGATGACATGATATTTGTCACAAAATAATGCGCAATAATTGGAATCTTGCCTAAACCTCGCGTATTACCAAGTATTAGTAACTTTGAGGAAACATAAGGCGATCGAAATTAATAGACTGCGGCATACGATGCATATTTTCCTGCTGGATTGATTGCGTTGTGACGAATTACTAGAAGTTCTGTGTGGCGAAATTCTGGTAATTTATTAAAACGCAAGCAATCCAGTAGGAAAAATTACCTCGTGTGCCACTGGCTTAACGGAGATGATACAATGCATCGTTTGTAAAGACTATACAGTCGTGGCGGAATTCAAGGATCGTCTGACATATGTAGCGTCTCGACCGTGAGGTCGCGAACGATACGAGGCGCGAACCGACGATGGAAAATTACCGCAATGAATCAAGAAAGAGCGTTCAAGAGAGACGAGGATAGACGATAGAACTTGTTGGGCGCGAGAAAGGCGTCGTCCCGCCAGTCGATAACTATAAGGTTTGTTCTTTTTCGAAGAAAGTTCTAGAAATCGGTTGTGTATCTTGAAATGAAATAAAAATTACAAAAATGAGCAAATTTACTAGAATATTTATAATTTCATTGCTCAACATTTAATGAATTTACTCATTTTTATAATTTTTCTCTCGTTTCAAGATACACAATGAGTGGCACTGAATTGGTGTATAATAAAAGTCGATCGTGTATCTTAAAACGAGATAAAAATTATAAAAAATTATAAAACATACTAGATGGCGATTAATAAAATTATAAATATTTCAGTAGTCTCAAAATATAGTTTATTCCAACGTATAAATAAATATATTGCACCAATTAAGAAGTTTCTTCGAAAAAGATTAGAACTTTATAAAAGACCTACAATTGGAATAATATGAATAAGTTGGAAGTAAGAACCAATCACAGTCGAATGTGATAATAATTAACTATGATTAGTCAATTTCTTATAGTTACACAATATTACTTCAATTGTAGAAGTGTCTACTTCAATTGTAGTGTCTTTGGCACACAAAAAAACTTAAGCAGTAAAGACTTAAACACAATGAAAAGCAATAAGAACAGAAAATAAGAGATTTCAACCCAATCAGAAACCTCATATACCTAGAATTCTGATACATTCTAATAGATTGAAATCTGTTGTGCTTTGTTCCTATTTGCTTTTCATTGTATTTAAGATTTTACTGTTCTTAGGCCCGATTGAACCAACGTTATTTTGATTTTAAATGAAGCTTGAAACTCTTCTTTCTTTTTTTAAAGTCGACAGAAAAATAGAGAGGGAGTTTTAACTTCGCTTAAAGTTAAAATAACATTGATGTAATCATCCTTATTGTACATTTTTCTATGTGTGTGCCATGGGCTTTAATTTCAGCGTCAAAAAAATGTAAATCACGTGATCGCGAACTCAAGTTCGAATTCTCAACACCGTAAAAAAAATGATGTGGAAGAGAAACAAATAAGGGAAGGCACGTCGATTCTCTCCATGCCGCATACGAATGACGTGACGCATTTGATGCGAGACGCATCATCATTCGCGCGTCACGAAATGTCGACAGGATGAGTTTACACAGCTCAAACACATCGGCGACCATCGCGTTTATTCTCCCAATTGATAAATCGCGGGAAGAAAGAATAGCGCGCTGCAAATCGAATGGAGTAGAGAGATACATGCATCGCGACGTCGCAGAGTAAACGTTCTCTAACATTTCACCTCGTGATAATGGAAGCGCAATCGAACAATCGAAGGTATGACGCATTTACGCCGTTCACGCGACGTCTCGCCCTATCACGAGAGAAACGATCACGATCGTTAGCGGATGCACATTCCGCGGCAAATGTTTCCGATAGATCGCGTCTGAATACCGGTAATTTAATCGTTCGAGAAACTATATTAGGAGATTAGAAGAGAGACCGGCTAAACGCACCAAGTGGAACACCGCATCGAGCTCGATGTGACATCGAGTCATTCAAACATATTCCAGTTGATGCATTTGCTCGCTCGCATACGATCGCGGCGATTCCGGCAAGATGAGATAAATTGTTTTGGTACTCACCAAGTCAGTAGTCTGTAAAACTACGCGATAGAACAGGTCGCGAAACGGCACACGATTTCCCGAGGTAAAAGATGGCGAAACGGAAATGTGCAGCGACGCAAGGAGAACGTCGCGGTGGCGTCTCTTCCTGTACCGAAATCACTGCTGCCAACTTAAATCTTCCAAGAAGCCAACTTAACCTAATCTAATTCGATATCACAGGTCTGTTCGTGTTGCTTGAAATCTTCAAATAGTTTTGCACTTCAAACGAGATAGATATATACTTAGGCGTTAAAAAGAGAGAAAGCGAAGATACTGAGTGTAAAAAGTGCAAACCACGCGATCAGACCTAATTATGGAGCGTAGTGCTATTAAAGATCCAATTATTAAGATTCAATATTATCGATGGAGCATTAAAGCAATTGAAGAACAAACAAATCAGACTGGAATAGCGCAAGAAAAACATGTATTAATACATAATTATTTTTACAATTAATTACATTATTGTGATTTTTTATTAACACAATTTTGTTAGAAATTGCATTAATAAAAAATCACTTTTAAAATTCTTTACTTACAATAATTGATAATTAAAAAAAATAAATTTTGATTGTCTCAGATATTATAATCGATTATCGCCTCACAATGCATTGATAAATACAGCTTTTTTTAATCTCTTGTCTGCATATTACATTTTAATCTCTGAACCTTATATTTTAAAGGAAAGCTATTTCTGTTAGATAATATTTTTTCTATGGGAACAACACTTAAACAATTTGAATTTAATAGTCTACTAATCTGAAACAGCTTAACTGTTTTGAGAAAGCTTATAGAAATATAAGTAAATAGTTACTGTTGCTTCATTCTTTCAAAATGAAAATGATAAAGAACGAAATTACAATGAATTGATCTTTTTGCATTGCATTTTTGTTTCCTACATTTGTAATCTTTTCAAAAATAATTACATAATATACTTTTAATTAAATACGACGATATTTAACATGCAGAATAAAAGTGAAAAAGTAAACTTAAACATATAAAGAAAATAAAGACCATACTTTTTTTGACGCAAAAGGATAAAAAAAATGAATATTTAATTTTTAGAAATATAAATTTCATTGTTCAATTAACTAACAATCATCTACAATTTTTTTTCTGTTTAATTACATACAGAAATTTCATACGTAACAATCTCATAATCACTTGATAAGAAAAAATTTTTGAAAATAAAAAAAGGAAGAGAGGGAAAACATATTTTTACAATCTTTAATTTACATAAAAAGATTAATTAATTTGATTAATAATTAACGATTTTGATCGTTACATAGTAAATGCTACACAAGTTCGAAGGGATATGTGGGATTACATATTGCCTTCTAAAATAATATTATATCATTGTATACTGTTATTGCACTATGTAATTGTTAACTTTTTCACAATTTCCTCCTTTCTAGTTATTTTCACTGTACAAAAGCATAAAAATTCGAAGAGTACATCGGCAGCGTAACGAAAACATCTTGGGATGATCAACAATCGATCATATATATATATATATATATGTGTGTGTACACACACACACACACGCACACGCACACGCACGCACGCACGCACACACATACACGCACGCACGCACGCACGCACGCACGCACACATCCAAAACAGTATTTCGAATAATTAATGTATTCCATTTGTACAAGTTAGAAGTATAAATTACAAATTTTACAAATGATAATATAAGCTTGCGCATAATAATTTGCAGTTGTCGATTAATACGTAACTCTTTTGCGTTATATATTATAAAAATGTTATTCTCAATATTTAATTAGTTCACAAGGTTGCGTGCGATAATTATAATCGATTATAATCGAAATTGTAATCGTATATAATCTATGGTTGTTACAACACGCGAATTTTTGTTTCAATTGTAAATTTCATCATATGCGCAATGCGTATATTGCGAAGCTAATCTTCAATAATAAATATATTTTGAGGTATTTGAAAGAGAAATCTCTCTCGGCATGTGTGACATAGGCCGCAAAGTAGTATTACCTTAGCTTATAAGATCTCGTTAGACACATTACACACACTTTCAAATTCCGAACACAAAAAGAGTGACGCGACGTAGACACGAAAATGTATTTTATGTGGAAAATTTGTATTGTAACATATCAAATATTTGATATACTTTCACACGCTGAATTCGTTTTACATCACTATACAACCAAATATAGTATAAATTATATGACTATTCTAGCTTTTATTAAAATAGTTTTCGTTATTTTAATAAAAGATAGAATATTAAGTATTCAACAAGCTTTAACATGGCAAAATGTATTGAAATTTTCTCGTCAACTTTGATAGTCAACTTTGAAGTTTCATATAAATATAAAAGAAAATTAAGAATTTTAAATTTTTCGCGTTTTTTTCTTTGAAAATTATATTTTCAGCGTGAAAATTATTTTTCTTTAATGAAGAAATCGGATTATGTATATATATATATATATATATGATATATACATGTCAATTATATCTTCTACAATCGGTCAAGTCATTCATTCTTTGCTCATTCATACTCTCTTTCTTTCTCTGTATCTTACATTTATAAACTTCTAATCGTCAGTCTTCAGGCTGCAGTCTGTCAACAATTCTATTGTCACTAAGGGCATATTTACAGGAGTAGGAAGTTGTTTGTTTAACTAGAAGAAGAGTTAGTTTTTCATAGTCACATCAAGTATTACACAATTTTGATGCTGACGTTATCAATGTGTAGTTTCGACAATGTCTTTTTCACGCGAAGAGCAGTTAAGCGAACTGGTGGATTTGGATGCCAACATTCCGACATCATTTTGCTTAACGCATATAGGATCTGTAAGAAAAAGAGTTATCCGTTATTCGATCCGTAAAATCTGAGACAGTTAAATTGGAAATTTGCTTTTCTCAAAAAAGTGTTTTTCTTACCGAATCGTTATCCCATCTCGTTGGAATAACTGGACGCAATCGTTTCACGCAGACTACCAAGCGCATATCCTCAAAGTCTGGATCGTTTGGTACGACATCGTGATAAGGCAAAGCGTAAGGCTCCCCCATAGTATTCTTGCCACCTGTGACACATCTTCTACACGCTTCCCAAAATACAAGACCAACAGAATACATATCTGCCATTTTGAACGCATCAAAGGATGATGTATTCAAAGTCTCGTCTAACACTTCTGGTGCCATGTAACGTCGAGTACCGACTCGAGTATTTGGCGCGATATCGATCTCTCCGCTCTCGCTAAAAAAAGATAAATTTCTCATTTTCAATTTGCATTCTAAAAAAAAATACTAATAATAAAAGATATATCTCTTAAATTCCTACGTACCTGATGTAGCGAACCGCCAACCCAAAGTCAGCTATGGCACATTCTCCGTTTCTCTTAACTAAAATGTTTCTGCTCTTAATATCTCTATGAGCTATTGCGGGTTTCCCTTGCGTGCCAAAGATTTCCGTGTGCAAATGTGCGATACCAGACGCGATCGACGAACAGATTGCTAGTAAGGCTTGATGATCTAGTGCAATTGTTTGCAGGTAATCGTGCAATGAACCTCTTTCGTGATAATCCGTGATCAGCAACATCTGAGTCCAAGAGCCAGTTCCTTTAATATCGGCAGCAATGAAGCCGAGGATATTATCATGTCTCATAAGGACAGTTTGATAGATTTCCGTTTCTCGGAACCAAGATGCCTCCTCTAATGTGAAGAAGACCTTCACTGCTACTTTTTCACCACCTCGCCATCTAGCTAACCATACCTCGCCGTAACGTCCCTTTCCCACGCACTGCGACATGGCTAATTGTTTCGCAATCGTCTGTTGTACTAAGAGTGGTAATCCCGAACCTGATCCACTGCTCTGATCTATGAAGTCCTTGAGGGTTCCTTGTGATGGCACTAGACATGGATCTCGTTCTTTCTTCCGGCATTTAAGATACACGATTCCTATCGCTATCGAGGCGATGACAAAAATCGCTGACAATGTTACTATTAGAATGATTAGCGGCACCCCTGATGACACGATTATAGGATTGGTATCCACGGTAGGACGGGACTTGTGAGTTATGTCGGGAAAGTGTTCTTTGTTGCATAAATTCGTATGATTACAGCACTTTATGCTCTTCTCTCGTAAGTGAGGAACTTGATTTCCCTTGCATTGCATGAAACCTCCTTCGGCGGGTGGCAAGCAACCGAATGACCATTCGGGAACGTAGTCTCCCTGCTCGGGGTCCCACACTTCTTCCACAGCGCTGAAACATTGCCCTCCAGGTCGTAAGTCGCAAGTCCCATTTTGCCTACCGTCTGGACAATATCCGTCGCAATAGCAAAAACCGCCCAACACTGCAACAAGAAAATCATCGACAGTATTATTAGACACTGAGTATGAATGAATCAATAGTGTATACTTGGAGAAAACATACAAGATTCTAATATTAATCGTGTCCAGTCATTCAAACATTTTATTTTTGAACATGATTTCTCTGAGATTAATATTTGTTTATAAGCAAGCCAAAGAATGGCAAAGTAGGAGATGCGTTGCTGTATGAAATAATATGAAATCAAGTGTGTTGTGCGAGATGCTAAATAACTTAATGATAATTGATATAAAGAAAGGCGAAACTAGGCGTGGGGTTGAGCGAATTCGAGAGGCTGTTTGACAAGTCATGAGATGTGTCGTGTAGGCGAACGATCGTCGTCGCATCCCACGGAGAGGCGTGCACCATCATAAAGAGAAAGGAGTGGTAGGTGCGTCCCGATTCGGAAATCGGGGATATCTTTCATAAGAGTCTCTGTAAATTGACGTAAATCATCGGGGACCGATAATTCTCGCTATTAAATTTTGTGCACGTATAAAAGCGCGATCAGCACACAAATATGATGAAATATATGTTAACGGATCATAGTGTTAATGGGTCATCAGTAAAAAGAAAATAATATGATAACAAATAAAAATAGAGTAAAAATCAGGAATGAATTAGGTTCTATAATCAGTATATTATAGAAAATAGTTGCACGTATGGTAGTAAGTGCTTGTATCACTAAAACGCATCAAAATTTAAGATGTAAACATAAAGAATATAATTAATATTTATACTTATATGAAAAAAATGGTGTTGTAT